GCACTGTTCAATAGAGAATCCACGGATTCATGTGCGAAAATTGACACTGAGGATCATGTTTGAGCGATTTTTTGCGAAATATTAAAAATGTGCTTTCAAATACTTGTTTCATTATTAAACAATCCACTCAAATATAAGGCCGACGCTAGAAGGTGCGAAAAGGTTCACTTTGTCGTTGTTTTATCAAACACTTTTGGCATTATTTTGTCAGTAAGTTGCAACAGATTAGCTGGTTTGAGTAATTTTTGGCAAATTTTTAAAGCTTGCACCCTTTTTCGGCTAATTACTTTTGCAGTTTGTTGCAAAAAAATCGATTGCTCAGAAATGGGCGACGCCAAAACAGTGCTTTTCGCACCTTTTAAATAAATTATAGCCCCTAGTGCTGGTAAGTTGCAACTTAGTAGCGCTTTTTGCCGAGACACTTGCAAATGCTCGAAATATTGCAATTATGTGCCTAAAAATTATTTTTGCGAAAATGCATGAAGAGGGAGAGCTCATTATTACTCTGATCGATAAAGGAATCACAGCTCAATGTTTCTGGCAAGTCACAATAGATTGGAGTTTTTGAGGGAATTTCCACGAATTTTTAAATGTGGGGCTTGCAAAGGCCCATTATTCATTTTCCAGCAACCTTTTGCCTAAAAATCTATTGCTCAGAACTGGGTGAACCGACAAGATGAATTTTTAAGCAATTTCATAGCGAAACTGTGCCTGTGCATTAGTAGTAAGTAGCAATAAAGTAGTGACTAAGCGATTTTTGGCGAAGTTTAAAAAATCAGACGCAAAAGCCCAATTTTCGAGTAAATCTTTTCACAATTGGTTGCACAAAAATTAATTGCTCAGAAATGGATAAAGTAAGGGTCTGATTTCCACCTTGTTTTTCAAAGGATTTCTTGACCTCTATTGTTTTGTTAGTAGTAGTAGACTAGCGGTTTTGAACGAATTTTAGGAAATTTTTAAAGGAGGTACATGCAAACGCGCATTTTGCATCAAAAATTTCCATAGCTATAGACCTACATCTAATCTATCAATTGCACATAAATGGGCAAAACAAAAAGTTCATTTTTAAGCAGTTTTGTAAACACTAATTTTTGGTGTTGGCAAATTACACTCTTGGGCAGTTCAGTATCGATTTTGTGCGAATTTTTAAAAAGAACATTTGCAAATACCGATTTCCCATTAATTCGCCACTCATTGAGGGTGTCGAGGGTTGATTTTTATCCTGTTTTATAAACAAATTACTGCTCGATGTTGATGGTAAGCAGCATTGAATTGGCGGTTTTGAATAATTTTTAGTGAATTTTTTAAAGCGGCACCGGCAAATGCCCATTTGCTAGCAAACGTTTGCCTGAAACTCAATAGCTCAGACGTGGGTAAAACTAGAAGCTTAAATTTTAGGCAGTTTTATGAATAAACTTCTTGTCTGCGTTCGAAGTAAGTCGCAATAGAGTTGTAACTTTAAGCGACTTTTTACGAATGTTTAAAAACATGGACCAGTTTTGCGCAAGTTTACTTCGAATTAGTTGCATAAAAAATCTATTGCTCCCAAAAGGTTCAAGGGTAATTTTCACCCTGTTTTGTAAAGGAATTATAACTCTATATTTTCGGTAATTAGCAATAGAGTAGCGATTTTGCACAACTTTTGGGAAATTTTCAAGAGCTACTGTGTTTTCCAATAACTACTTCACCTAAAAATTAATTGCTCACAATTGGGTGAAGCTAGAGCGATGACTGTTGCACTATTTAATGAATAGATGAATGCTCTATTTTGTGGGTAGGCCGCAATATGTTAGAGTTTTGGCCAAATTTTCTGCGATTTTTTAAAGAGGTGTACGGACTCAAGGCCCGTGTTTCGTCAAAAACCAATTGCTCAGAAATGGGCACAGCTAGGGGGTGGATTTTTTTGCCGTTTTCCAAAGAAATGACCGCTCTATGTTATGGGCAAGCCGCATTAGAGTAACATTTTTGCGCGATTTTTGGAAAATTTTCAGACGGGACTCTTGCATATTCCCATTTTTCAGGCAGCTATGTTTTCAATGTAATGCCGAAACATCAATTGCTCAGACGTAGCTAAAGCTAGAAGGGTGATTTTTGTACTGTTTTGTGAAGAAACGCCCGTTTTTTGCTATTGGTGAGTTGCAATGGCGTAGAGGTTTTGTGCGATTTTTGGGCAATTTTTAAACGGGGCACTCGCTAAAGGTTTGAATTAATTATCCAAAGGTCAATTGCTCAGAAACAGATGCAGCTAGAAGGTTGATTTTTGCACTGTTTTATAAAACAATTACAGCTCTATGTCGCATTAGAGCACCGTCATTGGGTAATTTTTCGCGAACTTCTAAGACGCGAATTTGCCCGATCTTTGCACAGTTAAAGGCTGCGGTTCTGTAGTACGGAAATTGCAAAACAGTTGAAATAAAGCCGTACTTTGTAAGGAATATTTTGAATGGTTAATCGCTCAGAAACGTTTGCACAGTTTAGCAACGAAACTACTGCTCTGAGTAGCTGAAAAATGCGCAAATAGTGATTTAATCGTGACTATTTGCTCAAAAATTCAATGCTCCGAATTGGTTACGCACAACTAGACTCCAATGTCGTCCAGACTGAGTTTATACTTCCTCATCCGCGGCCTTCGGCAAGTAATTGAATTTATTCTTAATCTTGACGTAAAGAACTTGAGTGCTTATCGAGAACAGTGAAAAAAGCCAACAACAATAATAACAATAATTAATGTGCTGTTATAGTTTTAATGCCGATTTACATAATCGGTTGTCTATGTGCATAAGATTGTTTTTTTCTCCCGTTCACATCACACCACATTGCGTGTTTTTTTCTTCTCTTCTCTTCAGGCGTATGCCCGATCGACTCCAATGTGTTTCACTATCAAGAAGCCAACGCGTAGCCGAAGGAGAACGCAAGCCATAATAATATATGGTTTGTTTGACTATTAACTTGTCTTATGCAAGCGCCAATTAACTGGATCCGATTCTAGAGGGCTTCTATGTGTGGTAATAGGCAAGGTTAATGAATGTATGCAGTTTTTCGACATTGTTTGTTGCAGGAATTAAAATGGGGAAAAATTGGTACTCAGAAAGTTGCTCAGCAGCAGACAAATGGACACAGAAAGTGAAATCTCACACTGGCAACTTTCGGCAAATAAAAAGTGCGCCATATCTGATCGCCCATATATCATTAGCGGGGACTAAAAAGGAAAAAATCACATATATATGCAAAATTCGGTGGGTCATTCCAACTTTCACCGAATTTTAAGCGGTTCCTACCAGCACTTCGATGGCACCGAACGAACCATTGTTCGCAGCAGGACTTTCACATTTTTCCGACCGTTGTTGGATGGCAGGAAGCAGAAACACAGCGCCAGTAAATCCGAGATATTTATTCATATTATTTAAATAAAAACAAGAACATTTTCGGTAAAAAAATGTACAACGTGGAAGATACTATACAAAACTCTATTTCTTTGGAAATATATTAATTTTTACAGTTCTCTCTATTTTCTTTACATATCTACACTTAGAGGCTACGTAAGGTTCAACTAAATAATACAAAATAAAATTAAAACATACAACAACAACGACATTGTTTTGTCACAGGTTTGTCGGCCGCAGTGCTCGCTTGCTTTGTGCCATTTTCCATTCGATTCAATAAATATATTCGAGAGAAAATCCAAAAAAATCAAACATAATCAAGAAAAACTGTGTGCGCTTTCGCCAAGTTACAAGCGAGCACGCGGAGCCATCTACTAAAAAATACATACAAAATTAATTTACTAAACATTAAGAAGGTACTGTTCATTGCATCGGTTACAAAAATAAAGTCGTATTCATTAAATACACATTTTGTTTCAATCACAATCATTATCTCGAACGGAATCTAACGTAATTTGATAATACCCGTTAGCGTTTCTACAGCTGAACATTTCGACGACAGCCTGCCAGAAGTGGCCCGAAACAAGGCGAAAAAAACGACAAAACCCTAAAACTGTTCAATTTACGGAAATTGTGCTCAAAAGTGTGTCAGTGTTTTACTGGAAACGAGGATATTTACACAAGTTTATACGCGATAACGATATGAGATAACGCCTAAGATCCACGCAGTTTTTTTTTCGATTTTCCACTTTAAAGGCGAGGCTGTATATTCGGGCCGCCCCATTTTCCTTATCGATAGTGACGAACGTTATCTCGATTTCCCTAAGCCAGATCAAGGAGGTTTCGGTGTTTTTTTGCCAAAATGAATTAGTCAGACCCTTATAAGAATATGCGAAAAAAATCAAATTTTTCATGTTTTTTTCACTCAGTCAGTGGAAGCAGTTGAACAGGCAAAAACAGTTGTACTTTTCGTCCCTACAGAAAAGGGCTGTCTTCAAATGTACGCATTTTTTTATTTTAGAATTGGGTGAGTTTTTGCGCCAAAAATGAATTGGTTGGACGCTCATCAAGCCAGGAAAATTATAGTTAAAAATTTCAAAAATTAAGAACAATATTCCTGATTTTCCTTGTTTTTTGCAAAGCAATTGCCCTTTTCCGTCACTGGAAGCACATTAACAGGCCAAAACAGTTTTTAAATTTCTCTTAAAACTGTTAACTGAAACCCAATAAACGTTCTTTGTTACAAGTCTTTATTCCTTCATTCTTTATAACACGAAAGGGTTGTTTTCAAACGTCTACATAATCCTTCTTGTTATAGAAAAAATTTAAAAAGTTGGGAAAAAAAATTATTGATTTTTCTTGTTTTTTGCAAAAATTGCTCCTTTTCAGTCACTAGAAGCAGATGAACCGACAGAAACAGTTTGTGCA